ATGCCTCCGATGACCTCGGGGTAGAAAGTCAAGGATTATCGAAGAGTAAAGGATAGGAAGAAGAGCTTCTAATGAACCTCCTTATGTAACTTAATTCATGTAAATTTTTATCAAGTACTTCAGTAACAACCTCAACCTAACCGTTCTTGCTTACAGGAGACTGAAAATAAAATACATAAATTACAGTAAATCATCTCTTATGCATAATCAATAAACAAGAAGGGAACCTTATAATGGAGCTCTGTATCTACAAACTATGGGCAAGATCAGTAATGACTCGCTAAAAATCAAAACGTTTTACTCAACATTTTAACAAGTTTATACTAAAAATCAATCTGAGATAAATAAAAAATACATAATTTTTTGTTGGTTAAGAAAAATTATTCTGTATCATAAAGTTTATAAAAGTATTTTATCAACTATACAAAATACATCAAGGAAAGAGTAACAAATAAAATTAATATAATAAATTTATAGTATTTTAAAAAATAAAATAAAGAAACTCGTTTCAAATTCAGTGAATTTAAGATACAGCATAGGCAAAGAAACATTTTCCTCCACCAACATGGAGCGGATTGTGGTTCAGAGCGTTATTTACACAAGAAAGCACAATTCGCCTTGCACATCACCCACGCAACCCCGAAATAATCGAATTTGATTGGACCAGTCATGTCCATGTTTGCACTGTGCGAACTTTGTTTGAATAACATGATTTTAAAACTAGAATAATTTCTCTGAAGACCTGAAACAAACCAAATGGATTGACAAACTTGGGAATGACTTGACATGATAGTGGCTTGACATACTATCATAGTGGAACCTACAATAGTTCTTTATGAAACAGAAAATTATATCTGGAAGTTGAAAACAGAGAAATGATACTAGTTTGGTAATGAGGAATGTTACCCCATAATACATATTTTATATGTTTTCCCAAACGATATATACTTTCTTCATTGTAATCCTTCATCGTAAATATTAGTGAGAGGGAGCTTAGATCAAGGTAACATGAAAATAGTGTTCAATGCATTTGGATACGTGATGCGAAGGATAGAAAGCAATACATAAAGGAACAACTGAGAAATCAATTTATTGCCTATAATAATATTTATTTGTTAGCTATAATGTTTAGAAGCAAAGTGACTAGTGGCCCTCGCAATTTCTCACAGGTCATGGGGGCTTTCGAGCAGTGAATGACTATGATCTAACTGCGGTATTCCGGACACTGGTGAGCACATCTTGGTCAACTGCGCTGCCTTTGAAGACCATTAGACTAAATTATTGAGAGGAACCGGTCTCTACATTTTCACAAAGAACGATTTCCCTCAGTTCGCCAATGTGGAAAACTACCCGTAAAGAAAGATTTCGTGTACGGGTGGAAAGCCGCAGAAGAGGAGGAGCTATCAGCTAACAGACCATCAAGCTTTACTTACAGTAGGGAGATATTATGATGAGATGCCTAACATCTTACTACTGCAGACACTCGTATTGCCTAAAAGGCACGGTAGTTTAAAAAAAAAAAAAAAAAAAATAAACCTAAAATATTTATAGAATGTCTTTTGAGCAATTTTTATGTAAATGGCAATTTTTATGTAAAAAAAAGCTGCTTACATAGCAATTTTGGCTATGTAAATGTAAATGAAATATTAGAGAAGCTAGTCACTTATTCATAAAATGTTTGGAGATACTTGCTCCCTCAGTGCCCGCACCTGTACTTCTCACTATCTTAAGAAATAGAGTGATTAAAATGTCTGCTACCACGATCACAACTATTGTATTCACTTTTTTTTTTTCTTAACGTATTGTTATTTTTACGTTCATAAACACACATATTTCTTTCCCAAATACGCCTAGTGTTCACTTATAAGTGCAACATAGGACTTAGTAATAATATAAACATATTCTGAAAAGTTAATAAAATCATACAAATAATAATAAATCATTTTAAATTACTTGTAAAACTAAACAAAAGCTACGAGGTTCGATATAATTCCTCCTTTACCAAAGTTTCATTATTCAAGTGTCTAAAAATATGTAACCACTTTTGAAATAACAAATACAAAATAAAATTTTATATACAAAGGCTTTAATTACTAAAATGTTAGTTGTCCGATGTACAAACCCCTTTTTATCAAATTATTAACATCCGCCTAAAAACTTCGTGAATGGCTTCATCTCATCGTAAACATCAACTTTATTATTTACGGAAATGAGAAATGGAGCATTTTCATTCAGGGGATCGGTAAACTTTCTGGGAAAAAATGATGTACCATATGTAACACATGCAACCATTTCATTTCCTCTTGAATCGCAAGATAATTGATCACAAAATAGATAAAAAAGATGGCCTACAAAAATGATGGGCCGTTTGGTGTGACCTCAATCCCAAAAATGTCAACGAGGTCATTAGGCAAAAAAAAACAATATTTTTATTGATCAGATTTTTTCTCGATTTTGTTATGAAATTATTCAACGATTCAAGTGAAAATCGAATGGTATTTATGAGTTTGTACTTGATTAAATTACTAAGAAAATGTCCCATTTCTGTGATTTTTGCAGACATAAAAATTGATGGTTTAGATGAAGATTGTACCAAGGCATTCACAAAGTTTTTGACAAATTTTATTAATTTGATAAAAAGAGGTTTGAACCGCGGATAGAGAGATTTAGCGCGAAATATATACTATCTTACATATGTTAATCAATCAGATATGCAATGAAACAAATTAATAACGATGTAGCGAACTCGAATGCGGAGAAATTATTTCGCATCACCTTTACATTCAGTTCGAGACTCTTTGTTTTTAATTGATTATTAATTTTCTTCATTTATAATAATGACCTAAATACACAAATTGATTATCAACATTGTTACAGGGGAAGAGCGGTCGCTTAAAAGCCTAAAAAATCGGTTTCAATGTGTGAAATATTCAATTTCAAAAATAAATCAACTTCAGAAAAATCAACATATTAAAATAAAAAAAAATGAAATATGATATAAATGAAAACAGGAATACACCAATATTAAAGGGTTGACAATTGCTGTATATTTGCAATACATTAGGTAACAAAAACACAAAATAATTCTGTGGCTGCTCAACGGGGTTAAAAATAAACTAATTTTCGATTAACTTCAAAAATATTCATTTTAAGAGGTGTAACGAATAATCGAAACCAATTTTTTTTTCACTCCAGCTATAATAGCTATTCAAAGAACATCAATTCTTAATAATTCAATTTGTTGGAATGCCTTAAAACTTAAAATGCCACTTCTCAGTCGTTTTGAGTTTTCAATTTTCCACAGTAAAATATTTTATGTTGCTTATTATCTTGATGACGTTTTTACAATAAAATCTTTAACTGTATTATTCTGATATTAATACCACACTGATGAGGCAACACAACTTTTTTTTTTTTAAACAATAATAATATTAGAAATGGTGTAGGCTTTCGGATACATTATATATTATTGCTTCATTAGATTTCTAGGAATGGATTGTTTAATAAAAATTAAGTATACTATAGGAGAGACTATTGAACTATGATTCAGGAAATAATTTTGACCATAACATTTTGCTCTATAATTTTTCGGTTTTATTAAAATAAGATATTAAAAACAATTATAAAATTTTACAACACTTTTTCTTTATTTGCTATTACTTAACTAATTTTAATCATAAAATAACTACGTAAAATGCCAAAGGTCTGAAAAATAAACAGTTGATAAAAATGTACCCCGTGACTACATAAATTTAAGCAGCCTTATATTAAAGGTTTAAAATGGCAAATATTTATTGAATAGATCACAATTTTGTAAGAACAGTTCTTAAAAATATGCCCTCAATATCAGTTTTTATTTATTTATTTGAGTGTTTCGGCCACTGGCGTCATTTACTCCAAATTCTCTTTAATCACTTCGGATATTTTAAATTTTATTGTATATGCCGATATTTTTAAAAATTTAATAAGTCCTGAAATCGTGTCTGGGTCCTGTCTCAATATTTGTTCTGGGTCTGTGGAAAATCTGAGTCGTGCGCCATACGCTCTGTTAATATGTGAAGCACTGTTAAAATACAACCGCAGTAGGAACATGTTGGCGGTTTTTCCTTCTTTATCAGATATCCATGGCTAAGTCGACAATGGCCAATCCTGAAGCGGGTAACAACTACCTCTTCTCTCCGTGATTGCTGTATATTTTTTCTAGAATGTTTTAAGTATTGTACGATTTTTCTTAATTTATTTTCTCGCATTTCAAGCCATTGATTTTGCCACTCCAGCCATCCCTTTTCAATGATCTAAGATACAAGATGATCACCATAAGTTTTTAACAATAAGATTCATTGATTTTTTATTTAATTTTTATATGAAGTTACACTCCATCGCGGAATACGATACGATGGGTGACAGAATGTTAAACCTGCAATGTGACGTTTTTATCAATTTTAATATGCATTACAAAATTATCTTAGATGTAAGTATAGAACTACTATGTAGACGAAAAAAAATATCTGAGGTTTTCTGTAATTAGTAAAGGGCTATTTGAATCAAGTTTAACACAAAGAATTTGGAAAAAAAAGTTTTTGCTTCCATTAGATTATTTTTTAAACTACAAATTAGTTCTTTGTGCGTTTCGTAATTCCTATTCCGCTAATTTAAAATTTGAGTTACATTTTAATGCTAGTTACAACATTAAAATAAAATATTCCCTCTTTTTCAATAACGAATTGGGTAGTGAAACTTAATCTAACATGAGAGAGAAAGACGTAGAATACTGCATGCATAGTTTTTTAAGAGATTTAAATATTTATTTTATCTAATTTTTAAATTAAAACATTAATTTTCATTTTAAAATTTATTTCCTGTTTTATTTGTTTGTTGTTTTGTTGACATCAAATGGGTCTATTAGTTAATGGACTTAAGCATTTGAACAACATTAAACAAACTTTAACCATTTTATCAGCAGTCCGGTGTGATTTTTACTAGGTTTATTTCTGTTTCAGTCATTCTTTGGACGAACGTACAACAACCTCGGCTCTATATCGGAGTGCAAGAACAACGGCGAATGCGTCATCAACAAGAAGAACCGGACCTCCTGCAAGGCCTGCCGCCTGAGGAAGTGCCTCTTGGTCGGGATGTCCAAGAGCGGCTCCCGCTACGGCCGGAGGTCCAACTGGTTCAAGATCCACTGCCTCCTCCAGGAGCAAGGAGCGTCTTCCAAATGGGAGGAGGACAACAACAATTCCGTCAAGGAAATGAAGTCACCCATGTGGCGGCTTCCTCTACCGCCTCCACTCCCGCTCTTCGGATTTCCGCCTCCGCTGCCGCCGCTCTTTCTGCCCAGGCCGCCATTGCCTCTCCCGCCGCCACCTCCCAACTCCTTGGACGTCCTCCGGTCCCTGGGTCCTGTTCAAGACACGCCGATGGATCTGTCCAGTAGGAAGCGCCAGGAGCAGGAGGAAGGTGCGGAAGAGACGAAAAAGACTCCTCTAGATCTAACGTGTGTGAAAACCTAGTCTTAGTGTTTTATTGTTTTCCATTGTCTCTCTTTTTGTCGGTTCGATTCTTCTGTCGCGGACTGAATCGCCCCATCCATCAGTCGAGCAGCTACAGTGCTACTGTCGTTGCTGTGATTGAGTGATCTGATCTTCCAGCAGTTCGAGAAGCATTAACTGCAGAGGAAGGCAACTATCATCTTATTTAATATAAATATATGGTTAGGGACAAATGGTACAAAATATATGCTATATTTAAAATTGTATTTACATGTTAAACACTTATGAATATAATAGAGCATAAGACAAACAAGGCAATTAATAACAATTGTTTATTGTCTAGTTGAATTTAAAAATTGGTCGTTAAAACAGCAGCCTTCAAGCATCGTTATCAACATTTACATTGACTTAGCATAATTATAAAAAAAACTGTATTAATTTAACTATATTGGGATGAACAAATCCGATTTTTAGATATCAATAAAATATTTGTAAGATATTTAAGTGTAATAATTTGATGTAAGTTAAATATATCTACCATGAACACAAAAACATTACACACGTATACGACATAACTGATTCAATGAAAATGTGAAAATTATTGAAACATATTTCGTTCCTATTAAGTAGAGTATTTGTCATATAAATTTTAATATTCATGGGCATTAAATCACTTTATAATTGACGTGTATATATGTGGGTGTTTATTACGAATCTAAAACAATTGCGTGTACAGAAATCCTTCGTTACATAGTGAGATACAGTAATATGCTCATCAAGGCTATCGATAAAATGATGATTGCATAAAAACACATTTCAAAATGTTTTAATTTCAATGAATACAAACATTTATTTTTTTTCAGCAAAAATTTGTCATGTGATGCAATCAGCATTAGATGGAAAACAATAGATTCATGATATCTATTAAATTTTTATCGATGTGGCTCTCATGAATTTTGATCTCTTTTAATTGATTTCAATTTCTCAATTTTAATGGAATTACAACCTTGGATTGCATCAGCATGGCTCTATTTTAACTGGTTTGGTCTATGAAGGTGATCATCAATCAAAGCGATAAAATTAACCTGAAATTGGCGTTTTTTAATCGATGGCGAACAAGATTGAAAAACAACTTTTAAAAAAGCTTTTTTCACGCCAGCACTAATATTTTCTCATTAATATTAAAGCTAACTGATTTAATTTATTAATTTCGGAAATTTAACGATTTACTACGAATATAACTACTTTCATGATGACAAGATTGTCACATTTATTAGTTTAAATTTAATGATCCTTTAATCCGAAGGTAATTTCCAAATTATAAACTAACTTTTTGTTAAAAAATTAAATATAACTTTTATGCTTCAATTGTATCCCATTTTAAAAATTATTTTATGAACTGTTTTATCTTCAGAAGGCTCAGTCGGAATACATTAAGTACAGGGGCACCCTATCTCGTTTCCTCTGAAAGAAAAAGAAAATTTAATTTTTTAAAATAATTTTGTCTTACATATTTTTGTCCTAAACAATATTAAACAATATTTGTTTCATAATGAGGTAACAAATATGTGTATATTTTTTTTTTTACATTTTAAACTCATTTTCCTTTAATTGAATCTTGAATAATTTTTGTATCAAACGGAGAAACAATTTACAACTAATTGTATAAGTTTTAATAGGAGTTCTTGGCGTAATAGATCATAAAGCTTAACCTTATCATTTAAAATAACTAAATTTGTAATTTTAATGATGGTATTTTATTAATAATTTTATTTATATTTAGCTAATGACAATGTGAGTTCATTGGCAGTGTTAATTTTAGCGAAGAAAATGTTTTGGTTAACAAGTTGTGTTTAGAAAGTGGTTGCATGGTGCAAAAATCAAAATTTGTGAGGAAAGCGCATTTATTCGATGGTTTTGAATTTTTGAGGGGGCACATTTTGACTTAGTTATGCATTTTTGGAAAGAACTATATTTTTGTGTGGTTTTAATTTCACCAACGATCCATATTTGACTTATTTAATTTTTTTTTCAAAGAAAGTTATTATTTTAAAAATCCTCTATATTGCTATATGACCTTGATTAACATATTAATTATACACCTTCAGCCTGATGTTATCATCCCATCAAGTTTGTAGATTAGATTCCCTAGGGTTATCCTATGACCCCCGGAGCCCTTCTGTGACCCGCGGTTCCCTTGCATATTGTTCCCATGACGTCTTCATCATCGGCGTGGGCGCCTCCTCCCGACGGAGGTGTGAACCGAATCCTTATCTCTCCTTCCCACAACCTTTATCTCCCGTTCTCCTGATTTACAGTCCTTTAATTACCCTTCGCGTCCTACCCTTCAAGATGTACTCAAGGTGATATACTTTCTCTTCTGTTTCCAGAACGGTTCCTATTCATCTCGCCGCTCATTCGGGTCCAGGTACCAATGAATTTATTGCTCGATTAGAGAGCCTATTAGCTTTGACTGAGGTTGATATCCGTGCCTTGTGACCTCTCGCCATACTCGCAAGTCCATATAAAGACCGCTTTAGGATTTCGCAACTGTATGAGAGAATTTTGTTAAGGGTTTCGAAAGCGGAATTTAGTTGGATTTTGAGTCATCGTGCTAAGACGTCCATAATTTATGATCACATTAGCTGTTCACCTACTAATTCTCTTTTAGGCAGATTGGTCCACATAAAGCTCATACATAAAGCCAATTTAAAAAAAAAAAAATATATTTATTCAAACAAAAGCAGAAAATTAAACATGAATGCTTACCTTAAATCAGTTTTGTTGTTGGAATTTTTATTTTAAGTTGTATTTATGTTACATCTGTTAAAAATATCCGATGCGAATCATAATTATTTTTTATTTAATAAACTTCGGTTTCCCAATCATCTGGTTGCTTGATAACGCATATTTTACACGTTAGCCCGCTCAGCCGTCTCGCCCATTATCACTATCAGTTAGGGTCTCACAAAAGATATATGTTCGCTTTTCCATAAGCTACTTGGGGCAAGGAGTTTAATGAAATTCATGGTATGCTCCCTAAGAAAAATAATAAAGAGAAAAAAATGAAATCATTATTACATTTGGTTGTCATTAGAATAAAATAATAACTGCTAATAAATAAAAATTAAGATATGTTAAAGGTAACGATAAATATAACAATGCTGAAATATTAAATAAAAGAACGATTTTTATCTCTTTGTAATTATTCCAAAATTAAAAATATTTTTAAAGTTACGTTAAATGAATTTATTTTGCCGAAAAAAAAGATGATTATTATAAAGGTATAAAAGAAGACTTTAATTCAAGGAAGAGCTTGAAATTAAATATTAATTTTTATTCAAAATCAGTTAGGAAGTTTTAAATGTGTTTATGTTCTTTCAGAACTAGAAATTACCAAAAATAAAAATAAATAAATAAACAAAAAAATGTTTAATTTTAATCTGGCTGATAAACCATTGAATTTCAGCAAGAAGTAAATATAAAAAAATATTAATTGAAGATTACGAAAAAAAGGTTATTTATTCAAACTAGGACTTGAAATTAAATACTAATTTTTGTCTAAACAATTTCGTTATCACCGGAATTTTTATTGCTAATTGTATTTATTTCTATTGTTTAGGAACTAGCACCATTACTATAAAATAAAATAAATAAAACTTTTATTTAAAAGTTCTGTCGATCAATTCATTTCATCGAAAAGTAGATATGAAAAAGGTAATTGTGAATGACCTAAATTACTCAAAGGAATTATAAGAATCCAGAAATTTATTCAACAGTAATTAGATCTGAAATCCCTCTAATTACTACTAATATCTAATTATTTTCTATTTTAATAGAACATTCCTCAAGGTATTAAATAATAAAAGTTAAACTTTATGTAAGGAACTTTTGTGTGATTAGCCAAAAACTTCATCCATTGGAACTTTTACTTTAAAAACTTTTATCGATAAAAGCTTTTAAAAACTGTTTAACCTTTTAAATAAGTTACATCAAAACATTAAGCAATAATTAAAACAAATATGTTTTAGCAATAATTATTAGGTCGTTTTATTGAATACAAATTTTCGAAAATCAGTCTTACAACTAACTCACTGAACATATATTCATATTTATCATCGAATATACATCGTATTCAGAAAAAAACTCACACTTTTTAAGCTTGGCCATCGTAACTGATAAAGATATAGTTATAATATTATAACTATTAGAACTATTGGCGATTATTATAAAAATCAGCAAAATTGTTCCTTTACATAACAAAATGAAAATGGTTTCAAGTTGAATTAGAATGATTTATTGATTGAAAAATAATTTAATGAATTACAGTATTTATTGCTTTGAAGGAAAAAAATTGAAAATAGATTAATCAAAAAATTATTTTCAAAATACATGAAACAATACAACAATGAAAATAATTACGAATTGATGTTATGTTTTAAGTAATATTTTTAGCCATTGGACAAAGTAGTTATACGATATATTTTCATATTGATATTTGTAGGAAAACAGATGCCATAAACAATAGAACGTATATTACTTATAGGTTTATATCTTAAAACAAATTGTTAAAATTATAATAAAGTAAACAAAATCTAGTAAATTAGTAACAATGAAAATCATACATATTATAATAAATATAATGTTAATTTTTCATGTGTGGACAATTTTAAATTGTTCAAACTGTATGTATAGTTATGTTTATGTATAGTTATAATTGATTTTTCATCGTATTTATAATGATACTGTCCAATTAAATGTAAGAAAAAAATTAGAATTGGACAATTTAGCTCAATTTTAAAATATTAAAGGCCAGTAGATAGTTTGTAAAGCTCAAATTATATAAAATTGTAAATATGATTGTATATATTTATATTAGTTGCTTTGTATAAAGGAATTAAGTCTGTTGGGTTATTTATTATGGTGTTAATGTTTTTGTTCTAATTTTATGTAAGTGTGTAAAGGAAATGTTAAATTTCAAGTACAATTTCATCAAATAAAAAACATTATATTTGTATCTTTCAACTGTTCCTTTCTTTTTTTTTCTTGATTTCCTATCATTTTAGGATGGATATGCTTTGGAATTCCACCAGAAGCATTTTAAAAACGATTTTCATTAAAAGTGGTAAGTTATTTTTACCGATTTAATCAAAAATATTTTATTAGTATTTTCAATGCAACCTTGATAACGAAATTATTTCTAAGTGTGGAGTAAAGCAAACAACTTTTTTATCTGTTTTAAAGAAAGGCTTTTTCTGATAATTATATAAAATGTTTTAATGCATCAGCTCAATAAGTTAAGGCTAAATCGTAAAGCTATATTAATTTATTATATGAATAGTTGTTATAAATTGATTACGATATATAGGGTTATCAATATATATATATATATATATATATATATATAACATATAGGGGTACACCCAAGGTATCTGAAACCTAAATGCTATGAAGATATTTAAGGTTCTACAAACATGAGTTTTCAATAGTTGTAATCGAAGTATAATTATTCCAAGATAATTTAATTAATTCTATCTAAGTGAATATGCGGCATGCTGAGAAATAATTAATTAAAACATTTATTTTATCTTGTTAAGTTTTATCATGATAAAATGTTTGTCTTCGTTTTACTCTTATCTCATTTCGCTAATGTAATAGTAGTTCCTTTCACAATTTTATTCTGTACTTTTTTTTTAATACATTAGATAGGTTAAGCCAGAACTTATTTGCTGAATTGAAAAACATAAGCATTTATATAAAAGTTCTGTATTAAATATACGGCGAAAAACTAAAATATTTTTAAACTGCAACAAACAAAACAATTATTAAATAATAATTGAGAATGTGGATTCGGGTGCCATTAACTAGTTTAAAACTATTATTTTTTTTCCAGTAAGATTCTCATTATTTTGCAAGCTATCTTCTGAGAATGTTTTTGATATGAACTTTTTTGTTCAGGCTAAAGCAGAATGGCTTAGGAAAAATCAGAATAAACATGCTATACATTGGATTGAACTATTTTCTTGAATATTTAGTTCCAACATCGTCTAACAAGATCGTCAATAACTGTTTTGTTTACACTACAAACTTTCTTAACAATTGTTATAAAGTTTCAAGTATACCACTGAACTTAGGAAATAAACATTTAGTGGAACTGTCAGAATAAACAGATTCTGTAGAATAGCTGATATTTGTGAAATATTCAATAATATTTTAAAATAATATACTTT